CAAGCCGGGGGTGAATCCCATTATTGCCACGCGTATTTCTTCTTGCTTCTGTTCGAACTCCTTTCACTCGGTATGGATTCATTTTTAGAGTACTGTTTCGTTTCGCAAATTAATTTAACCCGTCGCCTTCCCCTCTGTGCGCCCGTTGTCGTTCCGCGGCTCCTTCAGTTCCTGGAACAAGAAGAAGAAACTCAAGGACGCCTCATTGAAGCGCGGACAATGGAATTGTATCTGGAAGCTTAATTGTCTCGTACGTTCAGCCTGTTGTTGTTGCTCTCCGTTGTCTCTTAATTATGCGTACTTTCATCCAGATGGCTACTCGATGTCGATCGAAGTGAAGTTACTGTTTCACGGACATTTTACAACGTTTGTTTACCTTTACCTTACAAACGTATAGATCAATTCCAGCGTGCAGTTCTCTGTCGTTGCACGAAAACTAGTAGGAGAACTACTTCTGTTTGGTTTGATTGTGAAATTCGTTGATCGATGAGAACGCTGTTGAGATAATTACGTCGACAGAAGGACGTTTAGTCAGTGTTAATTTTAGAGAGCGTAGATTATTCTTAAAAGGAATATAAATTCTTCTTCTTCCTCTCTTTGATCGAGAAAGTTTTGATCAACCTGAGAGAACTTCGACTGACAGAAATGCATTTCGAGATTATTACGTCGATGGAAGAAATTCGATAAACTCATTTTATTTGTGTGATTGGAAACGCGAGAAGAGGGAGCACAAAGGAAACCGTATGAAAGTATCGAAAGTGGAAGTCGAAGATGAACAAAGAACGGTCAGCAAGATGTAATTTAAAAAGATTGTCGCATACCTTTTTTTTATAGAGTGTAATTTCAATTTCGACGGTCGGAAAGGTTATTTCCTGCTTACGATGTCTTAAATTACTTGGGGGTAAATTTTTACTTCTAAATCTCGAATGAAATCTGAAAATGAATAAATTTGCTTGACAGTAAGTAGCCGTAAATTCGAATTAATTGTTGTAAATATTTGAATTAAAGTAGTTCTCAATTTGTCTAATTGATCACTTTGTAGCTGGCTCAGTGGAAAGAAATACGTTCTGCTCGCTTTATCGGCGTGTACGACTCAGCAGCACGTTGCAACTTTCGTTCTAAGCAATTTATTTTATGGAACTCGTGGCATTCATGAAGCCAGCATTCAACTGGTATCGCTATCCGGATAATATGAGCAATTAATTGGCTACATTAACAATCTATCTATCTTGTTAATTTCTTCAATTACAAAGTATCTGATAGTGCTCCAATTACAGAGATCGCCACTTTTTATCTATTAAAATATCGTCACGTTCAATAAATGAGCAACAACTAAAAGATCATATTTATGGATTCAGCAATTTCAAAGAAAGAATGATTACAGAATTGTCACTAATTATTATTAAGTCTAATCAAACGTTTCTAATTTGT